ATTATTCATCACTTATTAATTTCATTGTCTGTGAAATGGGAGTGAGCTGATACTATTTGTGATCTAAGTTCCTAAAATACTAGAAATCTTCTGTAGGTTCAAAACCCATAACTGAATATTTCACTCATGTGTTACTTACAAAGATATCCTAAGTTTAAGTATTGACATAAAGCCCATTGGCTTCTGTTTTCTCTACATTGCATGTGACCTTCAGCTCAGAGACTGGTTATTTCCCCCAGTGATCTCACTTATTCTAATTGAGCAAATGTATATCAATTAGAAGTCTGTCAGGGACAAACATCTGAGCTTGTCACTCACTTCGCATCTGTTCACTTGTATCTAGTTTATCTTGTTGCTTTTTAATTTTTACTCTTTTCTGAGGGATAAATCTCAGTAAGGACACTGCATTCAACTACACACATGCATAAGTGGAGATTTGGGGGATGGGAATGGTGTTGAAAAATTCCTTAATTTTATAGATAGTTCACAAAAACACATTTTGGTGAGTGGAAATTTTTTGGGGGGAGGGAGGTTTATGAGACAGGGTTTCTCTGTATTGTTTTAGAGGCTGTCAGTCCAGCCAGGCCTCAAACTCACAGAGATCCGCCTGCCTCTGCCTCCCGAGTGCTGGGATTAAAGGCGTGCGCCACCACCACCCGGCCCTGTGAGTGGAAATTTTAAAGAACATTTTGCAAATAATAAATATATGTATTAGAAATAAAGCTATAATTTCTTCACCAATTTCTAGTTTTAATAAATACATCTGGTTTTGACCCCATGTCTAGCTTTGCCAAAGCCATGCAGATACGTTCTTCTTTCTGTACAGAGGGCAGGAATTGTCTTACAAAGATTAAAATTTTGTAGCATATTCATACAGTGCCTTGCTACTCAGTAATTATAAGTATAAAATAAGCATCATCTAGAATAAATCTAGAATAAAGTTCTGAATGTATGACTGAGAAAAAGAAATCAGGTATAAAAGAATAGTAATGTTATTGTATTGATGAGAACTACTACCAGCTGGCAAAACTTGAATTGAGAATTCCGGTTGCTCCTTATGCATGGGATTAACAACCACACAGATTCAAGGCAACCTACCAGTGTGAAAGAAATATCCTACACCTAGAACTTGACTGGTGGGTATAGGTCATACACATTGCATTGAAGACTGACATATTTTTCTGGATGCAGTCCCCTCCACACACACAATGAACTGTCTGCACAGAGAAAAGTTGGCAAGTGAGTGATGGGGAAAATAAAGAAATCATGAAGTTATATATTCTCACCATAAAAATAAATGATACAGAATAAAAGGAAGATTGCCACTTTCTTCTCTTCACATGCCTCAAGTTTAATTTTCCTCTTTTTGAGAAGTGTCCCTAGGAGCTTGTTTCTCAGGCAGGCTCTTCGTTCTTCAAGCCCAGTTTAGTCATTCCAAAGAGAGGGGAAGCTGTGTTCAGTTGGAAGTAGAGATCTTGGCAGAATGCCTGAATATAAATTGTTTACACACAAAGACTTCTTCATACTAACACATGGGAGTGTGTATGCGAGAATGTGTATGTGGTGTGTGTGTGTGTAAGAGAGAGATACTGTGTGTATCTACATCTCTGAGGATGTGTCTCTCTGTATTTGTCTGTGTGTCTGTGTGAGAGAGAGACAGATTGTGTGTGCATTTGTCTCTCTCTGCAGGTCTCTCTCTGTGTGTGTATGTGGTGTGTGTGTGTGTGTGTGTGTAAAGGTGTATAATCCCTGGAAACAGAGACGGTTTGGTGATTCCTTTGGTGGACTGTATGAATGTGCTCAATTTTTCTCTTTTTTCTTTTGTTTTTAATGTGATCAAGACCTAGTAGATTATTTTTTATTGTTTTTATAGTTCAAACGCTAGATTTAGATTTAAAACATATATAAAATTGCATAAGATTAGGGATCATATTTCCACATTGAGGTATTCTGAGTCATCTATGTTTGTTCTACTTTTTTCAGTGTTGTTTTGCTTAGTTATTATTTATTTATTTTATGTGCATTGATAGTCTACCATGTGTTAGATCCCCTGGAACTAGAATTGCAGACAGTTTTGAGCTGCCATGTGGGTTCTGGGAATTGAACCCAGTTCCTCTGGAAGAGCAATCATTGCTCTTAACCACTGAGCCATCTCTCCAGCCACCCCCACACCCCCACAGCGCACACCCCCACCCTTCACCCCCACCACTTTTAATATTGTTAATGTGCTTTAGTATTTTACCGCCAATGTCAGGTCCTCTGGAACTGAATTACAGTAGTTCATATTTTTTAGGTGTTGCTAAGATTTTGATTAATAGTATATAAACCTGTTAGGGAAAAAAAAAAGTCCAATTTATCAACAGCAAATTAGCTCGCACAAGAGCATAGCCCTCACTTATTTAGATTCATTCAAGTATCTCTCTGATATGTTTTGTAATTTTCAGTACAAAGGCATTGAATATCTTTTTATAACTTTATTTCTAAGTCTTTTATCCTTCAACTCTACCACAAAGAAGCCATCATTTTCAAACTTCATTTTCTAATTTTTTGATGCTATCCATAAAAACACAGCTGGGTGTTTTCTGATGGCCTTGATGAATTAAACTAGTTCCTATAATTATGTTGGAAATCTTTGTAAATTTCCATGTGAGCAGATAGTTTTTTTCTGCAGATAAATATGGTTTCTTCTTTTCAAATTTGCTTCCCTTCTCTTATTAATTGAGGAGAACATCCAGTGTACTTCTATGTAGTATACAAGGAGAACTGTCTCCCTTGTCCTGATCTTTTACCATTTTTTACATTAACTTTCAGTAATAGCATTTTACTGATTTGAACCTTTAGTCTATTTCTTGTTGGTTGGGGAGGTTTCAATCATGAATAAATATATGATTCTATTTTTGAAAAAACAAAAACAAAAAACAAACCCTCTCTGCTTCCATTAAAGGTAACTTTTTAGTGCTTTATTCTGTTAATGTGGTAATTTTGTCAATTGATCATTGAATTCTGAACCTACTTTGTTTTGCTGGTACTCACTCCACTGTCATAATGCAGTATTATTATTATGAAGAACTTTTCATATACATTTTAAGGACCTGTCTTATCTATTCCATGCTGGCTTAATCCCACTAAGTATATGAGAATAATCTGGAACGTCTAATATTCCTCTTCCATGTTTTAAGAGTTGAGATTATGGTTGTATTCCACTATAACAGGTTTATGTAGGACTTTGAGCAAACTAGGCAACCACTCTACCAAGAGAGTCACATCCCCAGGCCTCTGTACACAATTTTTAGGGATGGGTTTCTTTCCTATAATATATTTTGCTGGGTGGGGGTGCCAAGTTTAAACTTACTTCAAAGAATTACATAGATCATCTCTATTTATGGAAATGACTTCTGTAATATTGGCATTATCTCTTTCTTAAACATTTAATAGAATTCAGCAGCCTATAGCCATTAAGAATATAGTTTTTATTTGTGAGGGCATATGTTAATATGAATATGATTTCTATTGAGAAATTCAGTTTGTATGTGGGTCAGTTTCACTAACTTGTATTTTTAAAAATGTTTTTAAATCAACAAAATTATTACATCCACTCTGACAAATTGTTACATTACCTATAGTTTTGATACCCACATAATATATAATGGTGCCTACTCTGACACTTCACATACTGGTAACTTATAATTGATATACCTACAGTGCCATAGAAGTTACTATGTGGACCAACCTAGACTCAAAGCCACAGCAACCCTCCTACTTCACTCTTCCAAATGTTGGCATTAGAGCCATGAGCCACCACACTCAAATTTGCTTTTATTTTCTGTTTATACCTATCTTGTTGAATTTCATTAGCCAAAGACCCAATGACACTAGGCATGGTGGTATATGCCTTCAGTACTATGGAGGTGGACACAGGCAAATCTCTTTGAGATCGGGGCCAGCCTCATCTACATAATAAGTTTTAGGTAGGTGGAGCTATATAGAAAAGTTTGAACTCCTGGAACCCAGTTGCAAAGAAGAGTGATGACCAAAGGAATCAAGATTGGGCTGGCAAACCCGCAGAGGCAGCTGACCTAAACAAGGGGGAAACACATGGACCCCAGACTGATGACTGAGGGGCCAGCATGGGACTGATCCAGACACCCTCCCACCGAACCTGGGTGACAGAGAAGAGGTCTTGGCAATCTGTGGGACCTGGGAGAGTGGAGCAGTATTTATTCCTAACATACAGAAGAACTCTGGGAACCCATGCCACGTGGAGGGATGTTCTCTCAGCCTGGACACATGATGAAGAACCTGGGCCCGTCCTGGGATGCTGTGACAGACCCTGAAAATCACACATGGAGGCCCTTGCCTCCCTGGGGAGCAGAGGGGGCAGTGGAGTGGGAGTGATGGGTTGGGAGGATTGGAGGGTAGGGGAGGAGAGGAGGTAGAGAGAACTGAAAGTGGCATGCATAAAAAATTAAATAAAAAATATATGAAAGAAAAAAGAAAAGTTTCTGTCTCAAACAGCAAAACACAAAGTCCCTATGAAAACTCCTTAGTTTACTTATTAGATATATGTAGGTTTATGTATATAACCCTTACAATTAGTTTAACATTTCCTTTAATCCTATATGAAGGAATAGTATCAATGTTTCTTATAGCCTTAAAAACCCTAATATTTTCATTTATCCCCAAGAGACAACAATTTCTTTATTACTTAAACAAAGTATATGATTCTCGAAGGTTAATTCTAAAAACTACATAGATTTTTTTCCTCCTAATTTCCACAAACTTTTACCATTTCAGACTCATTTGCATGTAATTATTGTAATGGAACAGAAAGCTATGTTATTTTAATTCATTCCCTGTTTCTTCATAGCATTAGTTCACCTACTTATATACCTGTAGACACTAAAGTTGAATTCACATAACTAAAGTGTGCATAAAATGTTGTCTTATTGTATGCAGAAACTCCTACCTGAATAAAGACTTCTGACATTTTGTTTCTACAGTGACAGTCTTATACGGATGAGTTGTGTAACTCTTAATAAGCTGCAAGAGACATATTTTATAAAGACAGCAAATTTCCTGCTGATTGGTGAAAGCAAGATGTATGTGAAACTTGGAAAGAAGAATTTATTTTGCAAAAGGGTGCACATATCCAAGATAGGTAAGAAGTTGTATATGAAGGTATGGTTGCTGTGGTTTGGATAGCTGCAGACACATGTCTTGACTTTCAGTATGTCAAAAATAGGCAAATCATGAAAACACTTTGTAATAAGCAATACCAACTTTTCCACCTAGTTTTTAATGAATGAAAAAATTGACCTTTGAATCATGACTTCCTACTGTGAGAAATATGCTAAGAATGTTTAAGCTCAGCTATGAAAGAGGGCAGTTGACACCACACCTACTGACTGGTGGAAACCCACATCAGTATGAAGAATGTGCCTAAAAGTGGAGTCATCTTTTATCTTCCTACACATCTTTTCTTTTTTCTCCATTTTCACATAGTATTCCAAATGTGCATGGATAAATTAACAAATCATTTTACAAATAAATATACATTTTCCATATTTGTCAAAGCTCCTCAGGTGGAAGAGAACTTATGGGTGGGAGATAAATGGATGCATAGACAGATAGATAATAGAAGAGACAGATGGGTGGGTGGATAGAAAGATAGATAGATAGATAGATGAGAAACAGATTAATTTTAAGACTGGTTCATGTGATTGTGGCTGTGGTAAGTTCAAAGACTTTATTTATTTTGATTTCATTTTACATTCCAATCACAGTTTTCCCACCCCTCCCCCAGCCCCGGCCTCCTCCCCCAGCCAACCCTCAATCCACTCCTCCTGAAGAGTTTCCCTGGGGGGAGACAACAAAGCCTGGCCCATTAAGCTGAGGCAAGTTCAAAGTCCTAAAAATAAGCCAGAGGGTAGAAATTCAGGTTAAGTGTGGATGTTGCAGACTTGAATCCAAATTCTCATGGCAAGAAACAAGAATATATTGCATTCCTGAATCTGACTTGTTTCTTAAAGGAATGTCTACCTTTTATCTTTAAGGCCTTTTACAGATTAAACTATGCTTACTCATTATGAAAGGTAATCTGTGCCACTCAAAATCTACAGACTTAGCTGAGTGGTGGTGGTGAACATCCTTAATCCCAGCTCTCAGGAGACAGAGGCAGGTAGATCTCTATAAGTTAGAAGCCAGCCTGGTCTACAGAGCTAATTCCAGGACAAGTAGGGCTGTTACACAGAGAAAACTGTCTCAAAAATCAAACAAACAAAAATCTACTGACTTAAATTTTAATCATATTTTTAAAATGCCATTGGATTGGTATTTAACTAAAAAAAATAAGGACCATATCCCAGCCATGATGAACTATAATATGATTATATTTCCAAATATATTAAGCGAAGAGTGAACATAGGCAAATTGATTTGACCTGGAATAAATAATTTTATTTTTGTTAAACATAAAAAATAGTAAAAAGCAGTTACAATTCAAGTCAAATATAATTTGAGTTAATTCAATGACATGTTAACTATTTGTGATTTCTCTACCTCTGGAGATTTTCAAGTGAATATATATGGGGAAATGTTCAGAATAATCATATAAGTGCAATTTGTTGCTAGTTGTAAAGGCTATGAACTATTTTCCTCATTCTCAATACCTCTTTCACTACTCTAAAAGAAAAGAAAACAAAGCAATTCTTACTAGATATTAGATAACGTGAGAAAGTTATGTCAGCTTTGTTTAACTATTATGATAAAGAGTAGAAGTTCCCTGTCTGAACAATCATCTAATCATCTTAGCGAAAGAACAGTTGTAACTGATAGGATATATTAAACAGATGGCTTTACATGTTTGACCACACAATAACATGAGCTAGGTCAGCATGAGTGGCAGATGAGGCAAAGATTCCAACAAACAGTATATGAGTTTTGACATGATACCTGCAGACACATCTTGACTTCCAGTATGTTAAAAATAGGCAAATCATGAAAATACTTTGTAATAGACAATAGCAACTTTTCTAACTCATTTTTAATAAATGAGAAATTTGATTCTTGAATCATGACTTCATACTGTGAGAAATATGCTACGAATGCTTAAGCTAAGCTATGAAAGTAAACTGGTTTTCATTCATTTAGAGGTGAAGTTTCTACAGATCAGTGCCCATTTTGGGCACTGCACAAAGGCCTCCTACTTAAAGTTTTGTTTCTGCTGCAAAGGCATTTCTCTCGGAGAGCAGAGCAGATGACAATTATGGATCCTCTGGGAAAACTACAACATTAGGCAAAGCCTATTGTCATCCTTCCATAAGGCAATCTGAGTACACAAGCTTTTGCAGTCACGGAAGCACTTAGACCACACCCACAGGATCTGGGGATACCTGCCTCATCCATAGTCCCTGTTACCAAAAAATGCATTGTGTTCATCAAGGACTATGTTGCATCTCCCACAGCAGACCACAGGACTAACCTCTTACGTGAGTAGCAATGAGGAGAGCCAGAGTTTTCACACTGCTGGTAGGACAGGTCCCTGTGGAGGGGTGGCGTGGGTCCCTGTGAGGGCACTAGAAAGTGCTTGCACTCCTAAGCAAGTAGAAAGAAAAGTAGTAGGATGTTTCTCATAGGATTAGTTTCTCCTAACTCTTCAGGAGGCATCTCAATCATTGTATTATCATTTCCACAAATTTTAAACTAAATGCTCCTGATTGAATCCTAGAACCAGAATCCTGACCAGCTACAACTTTCTCCCTTACTTTCCTTTCGTCAGGTCCCCTGTGGTGGTTTGAAACAAAACAGACCCCAAAGGGAGTGGCACTATTATAAGGTGTGGTTTTCTTGGCAGAGATGTGGTCTTGTTGGAGGAAGTGTGTCACTGAGGGGGTGGACTTTGAGGTCTCCTATGCTCAAGTGACTCCCGGGGAGACAGACCATTTTCTGATCAAGATATAGACACAACCATGTCTGCCTGCATGGCACCATGCTTCTCACCATGACGATAATGGACTGAACTATAAGCCGCCACCTCAATTAAATGTTTTCCTTTATAAGAGCCACCATGTTCATGGTGTCTCTTCACAGCAATAGAAACCTTAACTAAGACATCCCCCTAGCCTCTACGGTTGGAGGCCTAGCTTCCTGCTTTCCTACTTTCTTTCAAGTATATTGGTGAAATTGTCTCAGGTCAAAGGTGAACATACAGCCTGATCCAGATGTTTTACTAGAAAATAAATATTTTTCTCTGGGTCTGTGCTGCTTAGTATAACAGCTTTCTCCTCCCAGGAGTGTGTCTTACATGGCACACTGTATCTGAACAACAAACAGTTCTAGGAGGCAGGCAGGCAGCAGGCAGAGAGGCTTATAGAGCAATGGGTTAATTTAACTAAACCTGACTGAGGAGAGAGTCTAGAGGCAACTCTGGAATTTGTTAGCCAGGGCCAGGGGGCAGACTGCACTTCCATGCATCTCAGATGAGGTCAGAGGTCCCAGAGGTAGCCTTGAAATTCTCTTTCTTTGGAACTCTTTAGTAACATATGCTCTAGTATTCTGATGAGGTGTGTGTGTGTGTGTGTGTGTGTGTGTGTGTGTGTGTGTGTGTGTGCAAAATTAGCACTATCCACCAAAACAAAAAATTCCTGAACATATGATCTGACTGTTGTAATGTAAAAAAAAGCAGTGCTTGAGAAGTTCAAGCAGAGGATTTTTTTATTAGAGAAAGGGATCATAAAAAGCGAAAAGGGGAGGTGGAGACCGGCCGCCAGGGACAGGAGCAGCAGGAAAGAGTAAAGAGAAAAGAGGGGCAGAAAGAGGAACAGACAGAGAGAAAGAGAGAGGAAGGGATGGGAGGTGGGCAGGGCCCTTTTAAAAGGGAACCTAGTCAATGTGTACAGGTGGTGCTCTCAATGGCTGCACCTGAGGGTGTATCCTGTCAGAACCCCAAGGACAGGCCAGTGCAGATGCCTAAATAAAAAATAGGTCATGGATTTGAAATAAAGGTAGGAGGGTTTTGAGGGAGGACAGGAAAAGGTGAAATTATGTATTTACATTTTAATGTCAAAAATATATGAAAAACTTTAAATGTATTTATGTCCTATTTAGCTCCACACACAGCTTTCATTTCTTTTTCTTTCCAGTTAAACCTGAGGTTCCTTTTGACCTAAAAGTAGTTTATCGAAAAGAAGCAAATGACTTTCTGGTGACATTTAATACAACTCACTCACAAAAGAAGTATATGAAACAGTTAATGCATGACATGGCCTACCGCCCAAAAAAGGGTGAAAATAACTGGACGGTAATGTAAATCAATCCTTGTCATAAACTAAATGTCATCATGCTGTGTCTTCAGAATTTTTTCTTTACTCGAGAGACTCCCAGGACTCCTGCGTCTTTCTTGGCTCATCATCATCTAACTTACTCTATTTTATCTTTACGGTTTGGATTTAGATAAGAACATATGCTCGGACAAGCCTGATCCTCACTATACAAAGTCTGTAGTTCATGGGCTAGTCAGAAAAAATAGTGGCTCTCTGTGGCATAACCAAGAAGTAGGCCTGCTTTTTTTCTGGGATTTTTAGGGCCAGTAGGTCATCCAGAGAAGGGGCAGGAGGCTTGTCTGCCCCTTGTTTTTATTTTAATGCCTAAGGCTTCTGACACAGAAGGAACAATTGTTATTCACTCTTTGTTTTCTGAATGTTTAGTTGACTCTTTCACAGTCTGCTGAGGTTAAAATGATCTTGCTGTTCTTACCATCTATTTGGGAGATAAGTTGGGAGAGACGCAGAGTATCCTGGGTAGTCAGGTTTCTCTTAACCCCAGTCCTCCCTATGTCACATAGATAATTATTTTTCAAGATGTGACTTCTCTTTCTCAGGAATAACACCCAATACCTCCTTTTCTCAAGCCAGGTCATTCTCATTACTCTGCAGTGTGCTGAGTCATGTTACTTACAAATGTGCATGCCTGTCCAAGCCATTTGCTACCTCTCTCTCTACCTACTCCATACGCATACACAAACTGGATGACCTCCGTGATACTTTCTCTCATTAATCATCTGGAGATGCCACCAGTGAAAAAGCAGCCTTAGTAGAAGGGATAAGAATTATGAATAAATTATTTGGAGACAATCAGCTTATTATCTGTATTTTATTTTTTTATTCATTTTACATACAGTTCTCCCTCCCTCTCCTCCTCTCTCTCCTCCCTACTTTTCCCCAATCCATCCCCATCCATTACTCAGAAAGGGTAAGGCCTCGCATGGGGAATCAACAAAGCCTATCACATTCAGTTGAGGCAGGACCAAGTCCCTCCCCTGCATCCAGACTGAGCAAGGCATCCCACCATATGGAATGGGCTTCAAAGAGCCAGCTCATACACTAGGGATAGATCCTGGTCCCAATGCCAGGAGTCCCACAAACAGACCAGGCTACAAAACTGTCACCCACATGTAGAAAGCCTGGTTTGTTTGTTTGTTTTTTTTTTAAAAAAAAAAGGTAAGTTAAATGTCTACCCTCTCCTACAGGTTTATTTATGTCAATACATACAAACACAATTATAAGTCACATCAAAAATTAGCATTAAGTTACTGTATAACTGCCATCAGTCTGTTGACACAAAAATATTAATATATCAATGTTACAAACAGGCAAATCGACAGAAAACTTAGAAAATTGTCATAAATAAGAAACATAGATTCAATTAACAGAGTCAAACAAGTATAAATAACAATCAGATACTACTTTTGTCTATGAAACTGATATAACATCTTTTTTTCTTTAAAATAATACAGTAATGGAAAAGTCGTTGAGAGAGAAAAAGTTAGAAAAAGAAGATACTGGAATGGGAGAGCTAGTTGTGAACCTAGGTGTGGGTTATACACTCTAAAGTGGGAGATAATAATTCAGCTGAGAACTTATTTTGAGCATCATTTTGAGTTTTCCCCTTGTTCCACTGCCAAACCTTTTGTTTGGTTGAAAGCCTTCATTTCTGAAATATGAAAGACCTTCAAAAAAGTAGCAACACAACTGAGAGAGTTTGTGTTAAAGTGAGTTGACAGATCTAGGCAACATGTCTTTTGGTACCCAGTAATGCAACTTATTTTTTCACCCTAGCATGTAACTTTATCGAATACAAGAACAACAATCCTAGAACGAAATCTACAACCTAAATCAGTGTATGAAATCAAAGTCCGATCCTTTCCCGGTACCAGATACTTTCAAGGCTTCTGGAGTGAGTGGAGTCCAAGTTCTACCTTCAAAACCCCAGATCCTGGGAGTCCAGGTAAGCAAAGACTATAGAATCCCTGTGCACTCCACAAGATTCCTCATACTGAGTTACAGCAGACAGAGTGAGCAGGAGATTTAAGTAAATAACGCCCAGGTCAGGACACTGGGGGCCTTCTTCCACTTTCTGTTGAGAATGTTGTCTGCCGCCTTTGCCACTTTTCTGGAATAAGAGCAATGGGAGCTGGGTCCATAGTACCTGATAACAGACACGGATTGTTTTAAAACCACTGTCTCAGGTGCTCCTGAATAATGAATCCGTAAGAATGTCTTACCTGTCACCCCTTCCATTTTTGTCAGAGATCATGTTTGATCTCTCTGTGACCCCTCTAGGTAACACCTTGGCTAGTAGAAAGTGAGCAGGCCAGTCTGACTATCTATTGCATCTCCTTTCCCAGTAGAATAAAGATGTTGTGAGGTACAGGAAATACCAATAGCCAGAGAAAGCAGAGAATGTGTCTAAGAAAGGTGCCCAAAGCACCTTATACAGAACTTCTTTGACTGGGGTGGAACTTATTACTGCTATTCAAACTCTCATTCTGAAGCTTGTGCAGCTTCAGGGTAAGCATTCATCTCTTCAATTCTTATTTAGACTTTTCTCTTTGGGTATTGGCAGTTGGATAGGGGTTTATAGGCCATCAGGAAAGGTCATCTTTGCACTTAAAGTGGCGGATGCTCTTACCATGGTCACCAAGATCAGCACCACTCTTCCTGTCTATCAAAGAACTATTTCCAAGAAACAATAAGTGAGACTGTGTTACTAAGTAAACTCAAACCATTCTAAATATCTACCCCATCTCCCCCCACATTATTTGCTTACTGAATGCTAACCATGATCTTTCCTTATATTGCAGGGGGATGGGATCCTGTTTTACCAAGTATCAGCATTCTGAGTTTTTTCTCTGTGGCTTTGTTGTTCATCTTAACCTGTGTGCTATGGAAAAAAAGGTGATTTTCTTTAATAATCAGAAGGTTATTGTGTGAAGTCAGAGAAAGACGGGACTCAGACCCCACTTACTGATCTATAAAATTTTAAAGGGAATCTTGACATTTTAGGAATTACAATTACAGTGGCAAGTATACTCCCTCCTATTCTACGATTCTAGTTAATTTTCTGTAGTTGATTTCAGAAGAAGCAAAAGTATCTAAACTAGATGTAAGACAAACATTATTCCCAAAATATTACTACATTAATATCTGTTTCTCTCTCTCTCTTTCTCTGTGTGTGTATGTCTGTCTGTCTGTCTGTCTGTGTATGTGTTCATGAGTGTGCACATACATTTACATGTGTGCTGGCCTACAGGCAGCCAATACTCAACATTGATTTATTTTTTACTCAATCATTTTCCACCTTGTTTTTTTTGGGACAGGATCTTTCACTAAACCTGGAACTCACTGAATCAGTCAGACTAACCTATCTGCCTGCCTCCATCATGCCACACAGCATCACTAAGTATATGAATTCGAATCTTAATATTAATATGGAAAACAGTTTATTAACTGAATCATCTCCCTAAGCCCGTGCTCCTAAATAAAAATTCTTTGAGAAGTATTTTCCAAACTTTTCCCCACTGCCTCCTAAAGGACAGAGACAGGATTACCCAATTCTAAGGAGGATTTTATTTGATGTCATGACTTTCTAAACACAAATTTACAAGATTTTGTATTCTACTCTGTGATAGTCATGCACTTGAAATTACTCAGTTGTTCTAGGAAGATGCCCTAAGCATAGGGTCACACTTTACTAGGACAAAAAGTGTTGTAATTTGAAAAATATTACCATAAAATAATTTCCTTGAATAGCTTAGAACATATTCCCTACTTTTACTAGAATATAGCAAAGCAGTTACTTCAAGTAAAGAGAATGAATAAGATGACAATATCAACATTGAATAGAAAAGACCAGGTCATCAGGCTTAACTCCATATCAACACCAAAACTACCTCCCTGCAAACCTCAGTCCCATAATTACAGTGTCTTATTCACAATAGATCAGTAACAATGAGCTTTGTTCCAGCCCCATTTAATTGAGTGGGTGATACTGTCCACAGATGCTACCTAGCAGTAGCAAAGCCAGTACCAAAAAACTGTTTTACACTCTCCCTCAAACAAGGAACAAGATGCATGTGTATGCTTTTTCCCCTCTGCCATCTGTTTCATCTATGAATGTTCTCTGGTTTTAGGATTAAACCTATTGTATGGCCCAGTCTCCCTGATCATAAGAAAACTCTGGAACAACTATGCAAGAAACCACAAAAGGTAAGTGCTTGTGGTGGAGAAACACCATATCAATGATACCTTAGTCTAAGAATGTTCAAGGCAAGGGAAAACTAAACTCAGCTTTTGGCCCTTGATGTATTCATAGCTGAGGTTCCTTATAAAATACTGTGGGATAAAACTGAGACACACACAACAGGGAGTGGGGGCACAGTCAGTTTCAGTATCACAGCTCAGGCAGAAGTGCAGTCCACTGAAGAGCAAGCTTGCGACTTTCCAGCATTGCATAGTAAATTAGACTTTTTTATCTTCCTGAACCAAATGTGTGGTAGCACCTCTTTCCAGTGCCACTAATGCTTCTGACTTTCTCTACAGAATTTGAATGTGAGTTTCAATCCTGCAAGCTTTCTGGACTGCCAGATTCATGAGGTGAATGGCATTCAATCCAGAGATGAAGTAGAAAGCTTTCTGCAAAATGTTCATCCTACACAACCTGATCCTCCACCCGAGGAGCTGGAGAAGCAGGAACGTGGAGCATCTGTACATAGCCCAAACTGGCTATCTGAGATTTCAGTCAGCACACCAGAAACTGTCAGAAGAAACTCATCCCTAAGATTCCTGAACAGAAATCCAAGTGCATGCAGTACCCCTATGTTCCCTTCCTCTAGGTCCCCTAACTACAGAGATGGTGATAGGAATAGACCCCATGTGTATCAAGACTTGCTGCCAAGCCCTGGAAACACAAATGGTACCCTCCCTCAACTGTTTCCTCTCCAGTCAGGAATCCTAATACCAGTTTCTCAGAGACAGCCCATCCCTAATTCCTCAGTACTGAATCAAGAAGAAGCCTATGTCACCATGTCTAGTTTTTACCAAAACAAATGAATTAGGAGAAACCTAAGACCCTTCCATCACAAACAGAATGACCACTGGGATGGAAAGTCAAGAATGCCTACTATCCCTCATAGCTCACAAGAGATAAAGTCAATGCGACCTTGCTACACATCATCAGCATTCTGAGAAATCATTTTGATCTCCTAACTCAGAAACATTTGCATAAAACAGGAAGAATCTCTTTCTACCTTTTTGGTTCAGTCCTAAGAGTTAAGATGACCTGATTAAAAATATGAACAAAATTCAAATTAAACAAAGAGTAACAGGAAGATAGAAGGGTGTTGTGAAAGAAAGAAGAAAAATATAAGAAAAGAAGACTAACAGTGGCAGTTCTATCATTAGGACTTAGTATATATACAGGACTCTACACAAATGGTCTCATTTCTTCCTCACAATAATAATACAACAATGTGGGTTCATCCATTATTATTTGTATACTCTTTGAGATAAATGCTGAAGTTGAGAGTAAAGATTTTAAGTAATCTGTCTAAGTTTTCCTTTCAGAAGCAGGTAAGGCATACCTTCTAACTTCGGCCTTCCCTTGCCATGAACCTGTCCTATTCTTGAGATCTAAACACCACCACTAAGTGGGTGATTATATAGTAATTATTCAAACTGGGCCACTGTGAAAGTGGAAAGTCAGAGATAAGTAACAGTAATCATGAACTAGGTCTGTCTCAGAAAGCGGCTACAAGGAAGAAAGTAGACGACAAAATATGTTTATGAATGTGAAGTACCAAGACTGTGCGTCAAAGGAATTGGGAGAAAGAAGAGAGTCGCCAAGCTCATTTGGATTTGTTTATTTGTTTATTTTGAATAACAAACCCAAGAAGAAATAAGTTAGAAGCCAAGAAGTTCCAGAACCAGTTGTCAAGACCATGATCCTCCTGCTGCTATTATACATCTGCCTCCATATGAGATCATAGAAGGAACTATTGACAATCTACAACAGTGCGACATGTAACCAGTGACTGGAGGAATAGCCCTCCTATGTGTGTAGATACCATTACAAACTACCCTAAGTTTTGCAGCCTTGGATGTGAACACTCCAGTGAGAACCAAAGCTGAGATTATGCTCATGAAAACACAAAGAAGATGGGCAAGTTGCTCAAATTCCAATGTTAATTCACGACTGCAAGCCACAACTTTGTATCCCTGTTGTGAATAGCAGTCTCCTGAAGAAAACATCAAGTAACCGAAGGACACCATTGGGTTCCTTAGCACTAAAATCCTGTGTTTCGGTGTTGACATTGGTTATTTGAATTTGGTGTGTCTGTCTGGTCATGTATTAAATCCATGTATTATATTCACATAGCCACAACTGCCGCTAATTCTTAATTATATATTCAGGAACAGCATGTAATATAACATTTCTAATTGGATCTGCCAATTTCACTCTTGGATTTCATAGAAGAAAATCAAAACTTTTGGTCAGAGATAATTTGCAAACAGAGAGAGCTATCAGCTGCTACTTCCAAGAATATGAAATAAAAATATTGAAAAGTAGGCAACCAATGTGATCAATAAACTACACCTGGGTCCAGGGAATTTCCAGTTAGTCAATGTACGTTCTACAAGCCTTTGTCTCTGTCTTCAATGAGGTGTCGTCCATGAGAATCTGTGCCTTCAGATCCAATTAAGGGCTATTTCAGATGTATATACTTGTGGGTCTTCAGAGCTGATTTGAGCTTTTTGGGAGATTTTTGGGTTTTTTAAATATTTTTATTTAAATTAGAAACAATCTTATTTTACATATCAATCCCAGTTCCCTCTCCATCCTATTCTCCCATGCTCCCCCCACCAATCCCCTCTCCACTCCCCAGGGAGAGTGAGGCCTTCCATGGGAGATCATCAAAGTCTGTCACCAGGGCTAAGATTTGGAACTGTCAAAAATCCTAAGAATATGTAGTAGGGAACCTGGTATACAGCTCAGGTGATATTTTTTGTGAGCTCAGCAGTTTTTCTTTGGTGTTCTTTAAAACACCCATCATCCACTACAGTGAAGTTGTCTGAGTTGACTGCACTTTTCAAATGCATTATTAGTAGCCTGCAGAGCTGTTACACAGAGAAATGTATGGTATGTGTTATCGTTTCACATTTCATTAAATGCTAAGGAACTCCATGTGGCTGCACTGTGTTCTGTGATTGTGACAATTACACGTAAGTAGGTTCCTACAGGTCAACACAGACCTCTTTAGCTACTGAAAGCTTTCTTAGGTCATTTAATGGGGTAGAGTTTCCAGAGAGATACTTTTTGTTTGTTTGTTTTGTTTTTTGTTTTCATTTTTTTTAGCTTTCTTTTTTTATTGTGGTGGAGGGAAGATGGCAGTGGGCACCAACATGTCACAATTAATGTGTGGCCCTCAGGACAGTTTTGTGGAATCTGCTCTCTCCTTCTACTTTACATGGGTTGGGGGAGGGTGCTCAGACTCAGGTCCCCAGGCTGGCACACATTGCTTCTAATACTCTCTTCTTCAGTTTTCTGATTGACAGTTATCCTAGCTTCTGCTTGAAGTCCCTCAAGATTGAGAGATATTTTTTAATGAATTCAATAATTAACTAATAGAAATGTGTTAGGAAGTCATACTGTATTACTTTTACACTGTGCTAGCCACTAAATGATGGAATTGGATATTCCAAGCTAACAGTTATATGGACAAAAAAATTCAAGTTACTATTTAAATATCACACTAGCGTTTTATGGCAAAATGTCAGTCATGATCCTTAGCATTTAGCAAAATAAATTAATTTTAAGCAGAGAATTTACTAAAAGATATTAGATGGCTCATAGAATATCTGGGAGGGTGAATAGTCAGTCTTTCAGGCCACAGAGTCTCTCTGTATCTCTGTGACTCACAACTCTAGAAACTGAACATAGTTATCTCCACTTGGGTCACCTGCTCCTGAGGAGGCTTAACAATGACCCCCAGCAACTTCACATCACAGATTGCTGGAGTAAGACAGAGCTTGAGGCTGTGGCTGAGAGCAGCAAACAGTCTTTATGTGAGCCGTAGCAATAGATAAGAGAACACCTGACTTTAAATGTACAGTAAGAGGCAGCCATTGCTACAGAGGAGATTCTGTTGTTAGGATAGAAGAAAAGAACAACAAAACCAGGTAATGGGGATGGAGAGATGACTCAGCAATCAAGAACACTGACTACTCTTCCATTCCAGAGGACCCAAGTTCAATGCCCAGTACCCATAATGGTGACTAAGCACTTCTGTAACTCCATTTCTAAGGATCCAACACCCTACTCTGGCCTCCCTGGGTACCAGGCATGCATGCATGCATGCAATACAGACATACATGCAAACAAAATACCTACGTATGTATAAAATAGTAATTTAAAAAATATTGCAAAGCAGGTAAATGCTATATGGGAGAAATTGCAAGCATGGACAACATGAAGGTCACATTTCATATATTAACACAAGATTTTGGAGTGTGCCTGGAGATCACATAGGGATTTTTCTCAACATAAGAAAAAAGCATAGTGAGCATTGGAGTTGTGAGAAAAAGTATTCAGGGGAATATACAAGAATAGCAACTGATACAGTAATCACTATCTCAGAAGACAACAGCAATGAGTTGGCAGTTACTTCAGAAAAGTAGATAAATCTTATTTTCATAGAAATAACATACTCATCTTGAATGCTTAATTTAAACATGTGTGTACATTCTGTTGTATCTTGGTCCATTTAAGCTACTCTAACAAAACACAATGGCCTGGGTAGCTTAAAAACAGCAAAAAACCCATTTCTTACAGTTTTAGAAACTGGGAAGTGTGTTAGTATCATAGGGTTCCAATGAAGGCTCTCAGTAAAATAGCACTGGCTTCTCACTGTACCTTACACCTGAGCACCCTTGGGCCTCTTTCATAAGCCCCCCCATCTTACTTCCATCATAGCAGAAGTTAAAATTTCAACCTGAATTGTGAGGACACCAACATTCAGACTGTAACACATTAAAAGGCCAGTGTACTTCCTAGAGTATGGTCATAAGTTTAAATAAACTGATCAACAAACTGCTCTTTTTAATATTTTTATTTCTTTGAAGTGATAACTTCAAGGTAATTTAAGAGTCCCATCTTTATAAAAAAAACCCTTAGAATTACTGCCTCTCCAAATTTTCAGCAATATTCTTGCATTGTACAGTTATTAAGTCCTCATAATTTTCAAGGTAGTTCTCTCAGGCGAAGAGCTGCCTTTCTTTGTACATTCAAAATTCATTAGCTCCCTAAATATAATTATAAGAAGTTCTACTGCCCTAGACAAGTGAGGACAGCTATAACTAACTGTCTTTTGTGTGCTTTCGTGTCACTTAGTAGAAGTAGTTGCACAGGGTGTTATTCACAGCCAAGTCTTAATGTGGATGCCAATGTATTTAAAACAAGATGGATAGTAATAGTTCACTCAGTGAGTGGCTGAAACAACCAAGTTGATGGAGAGCAGCAATAAAGGATGGAATTTACATGTTGTTATTTGCCTTACAGGGGCTAGGTGTGCTTGCAAAAAAAGTGTGGCCTTAAAAACTTCATGTGGGGGCTGAAGAGATGACTCAACATTTAACAATGCTTACTGATCTTACAGATCGCAGTTCGGTTCTAAGCACCCCCACGGCATCTCAAAACTGCTTGTAACTCCAGTTCCAGGGCATTTTCTGCTCCCTTTTGGTCTCCTGGGGTTCCTGCATGACATAGTGCACATGTGCTCACACAGTCACACACATGCACACACACACACACACACACACACACACCACAAAGTAAATTTTAAAAAAATTTAAAACCTTCATGTGCAAGTGTGCACTGGATTTCATGACTGTAAACATGAAACTCTTTGGTGTTTTCCTGTATTTTTTCTCAAAGGCATTCTATTGAATTCTATTTGATTGCATCAGTCCTTCCAGGTAAGATTACAGACTCTCATGCTTGGGCCTACATAAAATTTTCCCCAATTCTTCAAATAATGTGAGGGCTCCAAAGTACAAGGCCCTTTCCCTCTGTCCCCAACAATTCTTTAAGTCTCTATGTGGCTGCTTCCTATTATTCTTCAAGTACTAACATCTATGAAATTTTCTTACAGAAGAGGTGGCCATGTCAAAAACAAGACGCTTTTTCCATTTCTCTTTGTCATGCCTGTATTTCCTCCAAATTTCCTTTCATAATACTAATTACCTTAATTATTTCATTCATCATTGTTGATTCCCTTCAATTCTGAAACTCAACTTATAGGCAGCATCTGCTCTTTACTTTATTCTTAGGTGTTCAATAAATACTAATTGATGAACATGTGGAAGAACTCTGACAAACAGAGGAAGTTGTCACAAAGGCCCATTTGATATCTTGTCGTTAGTTTCATGGCTACAGCTAAACATGGTTATAGTTCTGCTTAACTGGACAGAAAGGTTCTCCCTGCCCTGCCCTGCTTCTGATATGACTACCTAACACAATCCCCAGAGAAATGGTGCTACAGAGAATATCTGGAAAACCCTTTTGATGGCTTTCTGGCAAGGAGTAGAAGGGTCTTGGTGCTCTAAAATATTCATTTCTTATGGTTACTTTTATAAATTGTCACATACTTAGATGCTTAAAACAAAACTAACTTATTCCCCTGTGTATCAAGGAGTCAAGTGTCCAAACTTCCAAGTGTTCACTGAAGTGTATAGTTCTGGAATCCCAATTCATTACTTGCTCTTCTCATTACTCATGCAAACAGCATTCTCTAGAATCTAGAGTCTAGATCACCCCTCTGTCATGGAAGGGGATCATTGTAACCTTTGCTCCCTTCATCATAGTGTCTTCTCTTGCTGTTGCCCTCTTTTCCTCCCCTTATAAGAATTGGTATTTTCATATTAAACTGACTCAGATAACAATAGTATCTCCATTTCAATGGTTTTACTGTAATCACATCTACAGAACCTGTTTGTCTTGTGCATACATTTTCGTAATCAAGATGCATCCATCTTCAGAAGCTGATTGTGTAATGTGCCTTGACCAGTTTCCCTGACCTTTCTGAGTCACATGTTGGACATGATCTTCTCCAGAAGGGTATGTTAATGATAGATCAGGATTTGACTGATTTGTATACCCCTATGCATTTTATGCTTCCTGTTGGTTCCACACAGATTTGTAATTACTTTGTTCAGTGGTTCCTCTAAGGATTTTAAGTACTACAGCAATTACTGGAGTTTGCCAAAAGAAAGGTTGAATAAACCCATCAACAAATAATGCTGCGTTATTCAACTTGTTTCTTCATCACTGTTCTAAATAAAAAGGCAAACTAAGCTGCTCAGAAAGAGCTGGCCCCACATCCCTGAGAATATACCACATCTGGGCAGCCACGTGCAAGGAGTCAGTTGCCTTCCCCATCCACATTTCCCTCCCCAGCTGTGCTCTTAACCACTGTGACCACAAAAGTGGGGAAATTACAGTGTGAGAAGGGGCAAGAATTTTCCAAGCTTCACTTCTTGATAATTATCTACATTTAATTTTGTTTATTGATAAATTTAGTTCACTTAAGATCTACATTAAAGTGGACCTTAACTTCTGAATTACAATACTGTATGCCTTTGTGTGGATATACGTATATAGCTTGAAATAACAACAGTAAAGTCAAAGAAAGTGTAATGCATAAAACTTGGTGAGTCCAAGAAACATATTGACTGACACTCCTCAAAAACCTGACAAAAACAAAATGTGAAGCAAACAACAGGCAAATTCCCTGAGGTTCGGAAAATAGCATGAAGGTTCATTTCTGTTGAAACTCTTGAGTTAATCTGGAACACTCCTCAATGATAATTAGTGTGCCGATCTCTCTTTATTCACGATAAATATTTGACAACCTGAAATGCAGTAGATCTCGTGGGATTGAAAAAGACTTCTGTTGGTGTCAAATTTGTTCCTACAACATGTTAGCTGTATTAGGCATTGGATCAAAACTTTTGGAATACTCCTAAGTATTTTAATGTTAAGCTTATCTGCTGGTGGAGTGAATTATTACTTTTAGAGCCCAAGAAATAATTATTTAAATTTCAATAAATGCTATAACATGGCACTGAAAAACACACTGTAAAACTTACATCTGCATAGTAATAATTTTTATGAACTCAACATTACCT